GAGGGATCTTCCCAACCTGGGAGTGGAACCTGGGTCTCTTGCATTGAAGGCAGATTCTTTACCAGGGAATCTGGTAACTTATATCACGTAGAATTTTCATATCTGTTAAATGGAAGTCATTCTTTCTGAAGAGAGGACCTAAAAGATTATTTCCCTAAGAGAAACGAAGGGAGAAAAGCCTTAGAATGCTTTTCAGAGTTTGTCATTCAAAAATTTAAATATTCACCCATGATTTTGTGTCCTAAATCAATCAATCAGACAATGGCCCGAGTCTACAGAAAACAAATTCCACGAAGATCAATCCTATTCCTTATGTGACTGTAAAATGTATTTGTATATATTTATATTTTTATATCTTGGCAAAAATACTATTCTGATTAAAATGCACATTCATACTTTGTTTCTAATTTAATGTGATTGGCAGGAGATTTTTTTTTTTAAGTTCTCTAAAAAAAATGTTTCAAAATCCCATCATTAAAAACTACACAAAATGACTCAAGAAAAACTAGTGTATAAAGAACTGTTGTTGACATGGTTCTGAAAATCCACAAGCACCAGCTCCTCACTTTCTCCCATGCTGGCTCCCTTCATAGAAAGGGGCTGGGACCATGGGGGTGGGAGGGGTGGGAAGGGGCTAGCTCGGCCTCTTTGATGTCACCAGCCCACCATAAATGGAAATGAAATAATAGTGGCCAAAACCAACCCAGTAAGCTGGTTTGCATAGTCATTGCTTGTCATAAAATATTATGATGCCAGACCATGAGGAATACACATCCAGTGCTCATTCATCCCATGGTCTATTGGGGGCCATTGCACGGGCCTCCATGCTCACTTTTTAAATTATCTTTTTTTCTAACATGTCTAAATTATACAGATTTTTTTTCCAGTATAGTAAGTTTATGGTTGTCCCTAACAACTGAGCAGTAAATTTAACCTACTAATTACTTTTCTCTATTTTGCCTTTAATAACAGTAGTTAACATTTACCAAAGGTTTATTTGTGGCAGGAGTTGTTCTAAGTCCTTCACGGATGTTAGTTTATGTAGTTTAATTAAATAATTAATTCCAAGAGTATTTCCATTGAACAGATGTGGACCCCAGGTCCCGTGTTCTGAACCAAACCCCAAGTCAGGCTTCCAGCCACCATGCCGTGTTGTCTTACTCTCTAGATTTCAAACCTAATGTTATTCTGTTAATAAACAGGAAGGTCATATGAAATCATTCTGTTGAGCAGTTGATTCTATTTTAAATAAAGCTCTAAAAACTTTTTATAATACTCTCTGCCTTCCAAGGTGGTTGTAAGCCCTCTGCACAGGTGTGAATTCATTTAATCCAGTCTTGTGAGGGGGGGCACAGTTGTTATTCCCACTGTCTGAAGAAGGAAATGGAGACCCAGAGATGCTCAGTAGTCTGACAGAAATTCAGGATGTGGGGCAATGAATATGCCAATTATTGCCATTCTTTTAACATTCTAGTCCTGCCACCGCTGTTTGCCTTCGAATAAATGACTTTATCTTTCTAATTCTTAGTGACCTCATGTATAAATAAAGGAGGGGGGCTGATTCTGTCATCTCTTAAGATCTGTTCAACAAATGCCACAAAGTTGACTTTAAAACAGCTTTGTCTGTGCCAGTCTGAAGACTTAAATGCAAAGTCCAGATTTTAACTGGCTGTGGATTCTGATTCTTCCCCGGATATCCCCAACAGTGGTTTCCAGAAAGGAATCAAGCAGGATGCTAAAAACGTAGACAATATTTTGACGGTCTCTAGAAATGCCAGCTTCAGCCTGGCGTATGCCAACACATACAGATAATCCTCAACACTTTGTAAATCCTGGCTCCACCAGGCACCAGCTGTGTAACCTGGGTGAGTACTCCATCATGCCTTGTGTCTTTCTCTGTAAAGTGGGTGTAATAATAACCCTATCTCCATAGAGCTGAGTGAGGACTGAGTGGGGAGTTACTGAGATCTATGTCTGGAGTGTACAGAAGATAACTTTGTCCATAGAAAGTAGTAAGTAAACATTTAACATTATTATTGCAGAAGATCTCTGCCCCTGTGAACAGGAAGGATCATGTATCACTATGATCATAACTGCAGAGGATTCCTTCTGAGGTCTGATGACAGCCTAGCTTCTTCCAAGATTTGGAAAATTGGGCTCATCCTTTATTTCCGGGTTAAAAAAAAAATCCATTTAAATTGCTCAGTAGTTAAAAGAGATGTGACTTGATACAGAGCTAAATTAGTTTGCTGAAGTTACTCAATTTCAGAGGGCCTGTATCCAGATCAATGTGAGCTAGAAGTTTTTATTTAATCTGATTAATATCATGAGGCAATCAGCGTTGTTAAGTCCAGGCAATTGGTGGGACTGAATTTTCTGAAGTTTATAAGATATGAATGTTCTGCCCACCCATATTTAGTCAAACTAAGCGGCTGTGGGTTTATTATTTGCTAAACAAACGTCTGATGGTGCATTTTCTGAGGACTAGGAACAGCATTTTAGAGCACTAGAATGTTTTTCCTTTTAGACAACTCATCAGATTCTCTCAGTATATGAAGTACCCAGGGTGCAAGATAATTGAGAAGAAAAATGAGGAAATTTTTAAATACTTTGGTTAAGGGCTATAAAATAATTGAGACTTGAAATTTAACACTACCTGAAGGTATGGTTTTGTTTGTCAGTCTTATTAGTGGAAACTCACTTTTGCTCTATGGTAGAGTCAAACAAATTAATCCACAGTTTTAAAGTGTGTTATGAGCATAATGCAGAGTCAATCTGGGAGTAAATTAGGTCCCTTAAAAATTGATCACAGAATGTGACACTAAATGGAGTTGACAAAGTATTATGTTCACTTGGCAAAGTTGCCTGTGCAAATATGATAGGATTGTATCCGGGACAAAACAAATACCCTGAATTTAAGTAAAGCTTTTAGAGCTGAAGGCAATCATAGAGATTATATCATCCACCAGAGGCCCAGAGGGATTAAGCGATTTGCCTAAGGTTACACAGATAGTAAGTGGATCTTCCAGATTTGAGCCCAGGCTTTCTAGAGCTTAGTGGGAGGGAGGCCCACTCTCCTCCAGCATGCATTCAGACACTGTTATCATGATGACAGTCTCAGTAACTGCTGTCTTTGAGTACTGCTCTGAACCAAGCATTCAATCAGGCTCTGTCCACATAACCTCCTCATCCCACCCCTCATAGCTCTATGTGGGATGTCTGGTGGTTTTTAGTAGCTCAGTTGTGTCTGATTCTGTGACTTCATGGACTACAGCCCACCAGGCTCCTCTGTCCATGGGATTCTCCAGGCAAGAATACTGGAGTGGCTTGCCATACATTTCCTTTTTCAAGGGATCTTCCCAACTCAGGGATCCAACCCTCGTCTCCTGTGTCTCCTGCATTGCAGGGAGATTCTTTACCCACTGAGCCATTGGAGTAGCCCTTGGTATGTCTAGTTATCCCCCTCTTATAGATGAGATCACAGAGACCCAACATTTGTGACTTGTTCATAGCTACACAGCCAGCAAATGCCCAAAGCTGGGGTCCAGCTTCACCCCTGAATCTGCATCCCGTCCCCGGGACCCACTGCTTCACCCCTGGGGGTCAAGAGGACTGCATCTTTGACAAGATTTTCCTTGAAAATCAATATTTTAAATTCCTGCAATGCTAGCCTCAGCTGCCCTAACTAGAGAACCTGTCTCTGAGAAGCTGAAAAAAAGTCACACCATTCCCAAGAGGCTGAGCTCACTCTCCATAGGAGAGGACATCAGACTGGTACACTAATTATTGTGTTTGTCTACTGGTCTTGAAAACTAACTAATTGGCTTTTAATAATATCAGGCATAAACAACCTACCGCGTTATTAAAACATGACCTGCTAGTCTATGTAGGCCATGGATTCAAGACCTCGAATTTAAAAGCAAAAATCAAATAGTTAACTGCCAAGAGGATGGCAGGAGAACATGAAGCCTGGGTAGTCTGTAGATTAATCCTAAAGGTAAACTAGAAGCATTGTTGAAAATTACTGTTTATTTAATATTTCATTTCAAAGAGACGCTCCCAAATGTTCAATTCTATTCTGTATTTAAAAGTTAAAAATATGCTTGAAATGACTGAGGATGGCGCTGAATCACAGTAGTAGTGTAATTATATAGCAAAATATCTTAGGTTTACCAGCCGAACTGCCCCATGCTTTCTTTACATGTGTTAAAGTATTAGTTACAAGGCAAAATGAGGCCATATTATGTTTAACTGTTTGTTTGGAAACTTGTTTTATTAAAAAAAGATTTTTTTCATGGTAATGCTATTTTCAGTACAGGTGTGATAATACTCCATAAAGTACTGTGTACTTGATATAGTGAATTGAGGAACATAACAGTCCCACTCGATGCTGGCCCCTAGTCTCCATGAGATACCCTAGTAGCAAAATGTAAATACCCTTTTCAAAAATAAAGAGGCCTTCAGGTGGTGGGATGAACAGACAGGGGTGGGGCAGGGAACTGTGATCTCTTCAGACAAACTCATGCTTTTGGCTTTGACTTCACTGAGTAAAATCAGTTCTCAGAGAACTGAGACAAACCCTTCTATGCTCCCCAAAAGCACAGAAGGAAGAAAGCTTGTCATTCACGAGCAGCTAGGGACAAAACCAGCAGCAGAGTACAGGTCAGGGGAATTAGAGATCCAAAAAAAAAAAAAGTTGGAGTAAAGTGCAGTTACTGTCAAAAATATATTATTTTGATCCTCAGAAAATTAAGAGAATTTTATCTAAGGAACTAGATTGCTGACCTTTTAATACATTTGGTTTTCAGAGAACATACAATCACCATCGGACCTATAAGACTAGTTTGCTTTGAAAAAAAAATTGCTTGGAATTATCTACAGGAAATCTCGTGAATGCAATTCAAGGCTAACATTCTGCAGCTCTTTGGGTAGTGGGCGATTTCCGCGGAATAACCCCCTGATTCCTGCGGGCATTTCTCCTATCTTCTCTCTCTCTCTTGCTAAATGCCTGCACTCTCCAGTTCTCCGTCTTCGACCCCTGAGGCGTGAGACCGGGAAATCATGTAGAGTTTCTCCTTGTTTGTAAACTGCCTCTGCACCGGCTGGGAGAGCTCGGCCTCGGGGGCCTCCTGACCGGGATCCTCCGGGGGTCTCTGCTCCGGCCCCGGGGCGGGGGCGTCCCCACCGTCTGGGTTTCCACCGGCCCCCAGGCCCCCCATCGACTCCAGGGAGGTGCCGGTCTCCCGCAGGGGAGTGTAGCCCTTATGGCTGCAGGACGGGTCATCGGACTGGGAACTCGGCGAGTCCGGCCGGGCGGGGGGCTCCGGGGAGGCCGCGAGCTCCGGGAGGCTGGAGTCCAGGTCCGCGCTGCGCGAGGCGGGTGGGGGCTCGGGGGACTGGGCCGCCCGGTAGTCCGGCAGCCCGCTGGTGCTGCGGCGCCGCAGGGCCGCGTGCCTGCCGGTCCTGGGTAGGCGGCCGCCCTGCCCTCTGGCGGCGCGCGCGGCCGCCGGCTCCTCCGGCTCGCTGGGCGCCCAGCGCGCGCCGCCCCGGGCACCGCCCCGGAGGTCGGCGAGGCTCAGGTCGAGCGGGATCTCCCGGGCGCCGCGCTCCCCGGGCGGCCGCTGCCAGCCGCGGCTCGCGGCCCCCGCGTCCCCGTCGCGGTCCCCCGGCAGGGGCAGCAGCGCGAAGGCGCTCAGCGACGACCCCACGAGGGAGCTGGCGGTGCTCGGGCGCCCCCAGGTTTCGGCGGGGCTGCCGGGCGCCGGGCTGCTGCCGCTGCTCGCGGCCCGGCGACGGCCGGCCACGCCTGGGCGCTCGCGGTAGATGCTGTACACGGCCTCCGCCAGGCTCGGGGGCTCCCGCGGGCGGCGCGGGGACGAGGCCAGGTCCGGCGGGGACGCGGCGCCTGGGGTCCCCCCGCCACCCCCACCCCGCGCCGAGGGGTGGGGCCAGGCGCCGCGGGCCAGCATCGCTGCCGCCCCGAAGGCGTCCCCGGCGGCGCCGCCGCGGGTCCCGGGCTTCAGCTCCAGGCTCCGTGACTGCACGTAGCCCAGGAAGCCGTTCAGCGGCGCGGCCCCGGGGGGCGCCGAGGCGGGGCCGGAGGACGAGGCGGCGGCCGCCAGGTCTTTGGCGCGAAGGCTGTGCACGTCGATGACGGTGGAGTAGAGGTCCCGCAGGTTGATGATCTTGGTCTCCTTGTCCCTGTTCTCGTGGAGCACGGCGTTGGCGCAGATGAAGAGGAAGATGCCGATGCCCATGATGAGGGGCCCGAAGACCTTGAGCTTGTCGGAGTGCAGGTAGCCCGAGAAGACGCGGAAGAAGAAGCCCACCGACGTGGAGGACGACGGAGAGGGGGCGGGGGACCGCGCTGGGGGCGTGCTCCGGGGCGCGCCCACCGAACTGGCGGTGACACCTTCCGGAGGCCCCGGCTGGGTCCTGGACCGGTTTCTGCTGCCCCCGCTGCTGCTGTTGGTCACGGAAGGGACGCGGTGGCCGCTGCCCCCGGGCGGCGGCGGCGGCTGCTTAGCCCCCTCCCGGTGGGCCCCGTTGGCCTTGGGCCAGTAGCCCACCACCGCCAGGGCGATGCCTACAAGCAGCACCACGATCCCGCAGAGGGCGATGAGCCCAGAGACGGAGCACAGCTTCAGCTTGCCCTTCACCACCACCACGTCGTTCTTGCGCCTCTTCTTGGCTTTCCGCTTGCGCTTGGGGACCTGGCCCGGGGGCCGGAGGGGGTCCTGCTTCCGGGCGGAGATCCTCAGGAGGCCGCCGGTGGCGATCATAGCGAGCGGTGGAGAGTGGGGCTAACCCGGGGCCGGAGGCCTGTGCGGGGGGCAGGGGGGGGGCACCAGCTGCCCACTAGCCGCTCCTCCACCTCCTCCTGCTGCAAAGCAGAGGAAGACAGTCAGAGGGTGTAGGCTTGGCTGCGGCAACATCCCACGCGCTCTGCCATAGTCCGGCTCCGGGATCCCAACACGTGTGCGCCCCCCCCCCCCCATCCCACATCCCGAGGCCATGACCCACTAACAGGAGTGCCCTACGTGGAGACCATGGGGTGCGGGCAGTAGATTAGGGACGAGAAGCGCTGTTGCGGTAACTGATCCGAGACGGTTAAAAACACTTAGAGAGGACGTCTTCTTTACTCCCCCATCCCCCAAACACTGTAGGTACTATTCCAGCAGTGCTCATTTCAAAAGCTCCAGGCTGACAGCCAACGAGTTCTGACCATGAGTGAAAACTAACGTGGGGACTCAGCGCTCGTGGGCACGGGCTCTCCTGGTCTCCAGGAGACCCAAGGGGGGCGCCCCAGACTTCCAAGTCTCTTAACTGAGAGGAGGGTCTGTCTGTCTGTGGGGCCTTCAAAGTCCCTGAAACAGTCAAAAAAGTTACCGATTCATAAAGACAAAAGGAAGTCCTTTCACCGGACGGAAATGAAAAGTCACATCCTGGCAGACGGCTTATTTACCCGAGGTAATTAATAAAGAGTTCACGGCTGGGGGAACACCTGAGAGCTGTGTCAGTACTCCGACCATGAATCCCTTCACCAACTTGTCTCCAAGCCATCATTGTTCTCATAGCTCCAAGCAAGCTGATCCTTCTCACAGCGCCTTCCCTCATCTCTTTGCTCCAACATCTGGACAGCTTCTTGGGGTGGAATATTTAGTTTTAGGTAACAGGTTATGTAACTGCGCTTTTCTCTCTGGCCTCTACTCCTCCCTCAGAGGAACTCCCTTAAAGGTATCATGTGCTAGAGCCCATCAGGGAATTTAAGCAGTCCTCCCAGCATCTCCAAGAGAAAGATCTTTTTCTCATGTGGGAAAATTCCAATCTAAAAAAAAAAAGAGAGAGAGACCTGCCATCATAGCTTTCTGACCCCTTATTAATGTGCCAACAGCACATTCTGAAGAATCCAAATATTCAAATGAGGAGGCAATTAACTAGGTATAGCAGTCTACATAATAATGATGGGTTGTAGGATCTCCCAAGGGAGAGCTGTTCCCATGTTTTTCTCATGAGGTCATTTTTAGGAAAGGAGGGGGGACAACAATCAGTGGACTATCTTACAGGAAGTTTAGTGGTTTATAATAAAGCCTGGGTAGATAAATGACACAGATGCAACTCTGTGGATATCTGTCAGCTTCTAAAAATTTCAGTCCTGCTGGATCCCCAGAGTAACACATTTTCTGTTCCACTGGTTGTGTTCCCTCCTATAATAGAGATGCTAAAATTAAGGGCATTGTATGAAATCGGAAGGCTTAGATATCACTCACAAACCTTTGGGAATTATATCCTTTATAAAATAATTCATGTTTTAGAATAAACTGCCCTTTGAAAATGGGGGATTGCTCAGGTAGAATTTTGCTTTTAGTTGGTGCCTGGGTGAACAGCTTTGCCCCTTGATCCCCTCTATCATACCAAGACAGGATCATTTCTCCACTGGTGGAAAAGCAAATGGTAATCAGCTATTTACAATGCTTGCAAATCGATATCTCCTTGGAACTTGGTTGGCTTTCAGTAAGAAGGAATGTCAGGTGGGCTAGAGAGGGGTTAAACACTGGGTAGGTGAGAGAAAGCTTAGTGGAGAGAATACATTTATAAACCCTTTGAATTTTGTTTTTAGGTAGGAGCTGCACCAGTAAGCACAGATTGGGAAAAACAAAAAACCAAAACAGAAACCAGAGTGGCTTACTGTCTATCCTTCCCTCCAAATAAGCACATTTATTATGTAGTTATAACTGCAAAGACTGCTTTTTTAAGTGATACCCAAACTCCAGCATCTTTAATGTAATAATCGAGATGAGTGATTGTCTTAAGAAGGATTGGGGAGCCAGACATTTTAGAAGCAAAGGCAGCCTCAGTTGGTGAGGTGGCTCTCCCAGAGAAAAGAGAAGGGCCAACATTTTGTTGGGCACTGGACGTGTTGGGGGAGGAAGGTCCACACATGCATTTTCTCCTCACAAGGCAGCTTTGGCTCCGGGTACAAAGTAAGGGAGACTGGAATGGATTTCAACAATCGTTTACAGAAGATCTTTAAAATTAGTTTAATAGCCAGTAATTAACTCCCTAGTTTATTATTCCTTCAGCTCTGCTGAAGCCTGAACCCCTTTATAACGTGTCTCCAGCTGACGGGGAAATACTGACAAAGGTCAGATGGCGAGGTAGAACCACCTTGGAGGTTTTCTTCGTGCATAATGAAGGAAAACAAACTTAGCATTCGAGCTCGGCCGCCCTAGCAATTTACTGCCTGGTGCTGGTCTTTCCGCGGCAAAGGAATGGAGGCTGGGGGAAAAGAAAGGAGGGATGTCTAAAAATACAACTGCTTCCAAGAGAGACGTTCAAGTTCTCGGCTCATGATGGATTAAGCCCCACTCGGTGTCTGCGGCTCCGAGCCCACAGGACTGGCAGCGCCCTGCCCTGCCCGGGTCCTTAATACCCCCGGCCCCTCCCCGGCAGGGCAGCGAGCCCCCCTTGCCCTTCCTTTTAGGTCTGCTTATTTATGTTGGAGTCACATGAGTGCAGCAGCTGGGAGTCCGCCTCTGGAACGAAGCCAGGCGGGAGCAAAGTGAGGGCAATCCTGAACTCGCTTGTATCCGGGCAGCGCGTGCCGCGTAGCCCGCCCAGGAACACGAGTGTCCCGAACCCCCGCACGGGTGACCCGGGCTGGGGCCGGGGGCTGGGGATGGGGCGCCAGGGGGGGACAGACAGAACGGCTCAAGATGGCAGCGCTGGAAGCCAAGAATATCGCTCACTTACCCGGGAAGACGGGGGCAGCTCGGGGCCGGCGAACGGGCGCTCGGGCGACACAAAGGAACCATGGAGAAACTTTTCGAGCCGGAGCCGCCGGCGGAGCGCGGGGACAGCGCCGCGGGGCCCTCGGTGCGCGCGCGGCTCAGCATCCCGGCGGGGGCGAGCGTCAGCCCCGGGTGCGCATCCCTCTCCGGCGCCGGGGCGGGAGCCATTTCCCGGAGTTTCCAAGAAGTGTCAGGTCCTCTGCATCCCGCATCCTGCCCAGAGCCACTCTCCCCGCTGTCCCGGCCCCTAGTCCGGCCCTGCCTGCTGGTCGGCCCCGCGCCTCTTTGTGCGGCTTGTGCGCGCCGGGCACCGCCGGGTGGAGTTGAGCCCGCGGTGGCGGCGGCGGCGGCGGCGGCGGGGAGAGCGGCTCGGGGCGGCCGGACCCGCGGCGGTTGCTAAGAGACCGGAGCCATGACACAGGGAAATCGCTGCAGGATGGCAGTCGGTACCCGGCCCGGCTCGGCGGCTCGGAGGTGCACCCGCCCCCCGCCCCGCCCCACCTCCCACCTCCTCCCCGGCTCCTGTCCCCCCGCCTCTCCGGTCTCCCCCACCACACTTTCTCTCCCGCCAGCGCGCGTCCCTTCGGAAGAACCGCTTCCCCGGGAGCGAGGAGGCGCGAGGGGAGGCGGAGGAGGGGGCCCGGGCTGGGGGCGCGCGCGGGGAAGGCAGGGCGCGGGGCGCCTCAGCCTCGGCCCTCCCCGCCCTTGGGGCGCCCCGGGACCGCCGCCTGCCCGGGGCTGGAGCTTTGTTCTTTCCCTCCCAACTACCTGTCTGAGCCGCGGGCCGGAGGGTCCCCAAAGGAGGGGCCGGTGCGCCCGGAGGGGCTTCCCATCGACACCCGAGGGTAGCGCCCGCGTCTCCCTGCCTCCCTGCCTCCCCGCCTTCCCTCTCCTCTCTTCCTCTTTTGTTGCCTCTACTCCTGGACACGATACAGCCTGGGCTGTCTCCCTCCTCCCACTCGGGAGTTGGCAGTGTGGACGCACAGCGAACACAGTAAGTTGTCCCCCAGCGAAGTCAGGCCGGGCCGAGGGGAGCCGCCCCCGCCGCGCCGCGCGCCCCGCGGGGCTCGTGGCCGCCGCTGTCCGCTGTCCACGCGCTCCAGCCCCGCCGGGCTTTTGTGGTCGCTCCCCTGGACTCGGGCAGCTGGGGCTCATCGGAGATTAGAATCGGCTCCGGGGCTCTCGTTTGGCAGCCACTCCTGCTCCAACACGCGCGCTCACCAGCAAGCTTGCAAAGGAAAACTACAATTCTCCAGGAATCAGGGTTAGCATCACAGACGGGAGGTGGGGGGAGGGAGGCCGTCCAAACTCCCTACGTCATTTTTAAAAAAGCGAGAGGGGGAGAGGAGTGCTGTTTCCTGGCTCATCTGTCCTCTCAACTGTAAAGTAAAAATGACAGGGAAGCGAGCATTTCAAAGTGGAATTTCCCCATGGAGAATTGAGAAGAAAGTAAGAAAGATTTCAATTATCTATTGAAATAGGGCAGCCAGGGTTCAAGAAGAAAGCTACAGAAGAGCAGGTGCACTTTGGGGCCCAGAGAGAAATATATTGCTGGGGGCGGGGTGGGGGGCGGTGGAGACTGTTGTGTATCCTGAGTTTGCTTGTTCAAAGGTCCATGGAGCCCAACCGGGAGGGCCTTGCTGCCCGCAGTGTCAGGGACAAGATTGTTCCTCAAGGTACACGGCATCCTCTTGTGTTTAATGCTAGAGCTTGCACTTTGCAAAAAGAACAATGAAGACCAAACATTTATGGGTTTAAAGACGGAAATGTGGACACTGAGGTGTGAGGTGGGTGTGGAGACGGTGGGGAGGCAGGAGGGGATGGAGGAGAAATATTTCCTCAAAGGAAACCATGCATCTGCATGTTTGGAAGGTGGCCTCTGTCTCCCTTTCCAAGCAAATATTGAAGCTGGATAATGATGGGGTGATCAGAGCCCACCTCCTTCTACCTCTGTTCCCACTCAGACACTAGAAAACAAGTCAAAATGAAGGGAAAGTTTTCAGTTCCACAATAGAGTGTTTCCTTTTAGAAAAATCACTGCAAAGGAGAAATCACTTGGTCTAGTAGTCATTTTCAAGGTTTTTTTTTTTTTTTGGCTCTGAACATCTAGACTTCAGGCAGATTCTTTACCCACTGAGCCATCAGAGAAGCCCTCTAGACTTCTTGAATCCCAATAATAATCTGGTGATTTGCACAAAGACTGGCTCTGAGATCTGATTTCATTACACAACTGGCTGCCAAGGGCCACGGGGGCAACTCCTATCCTCATTGGCCTCTGTTTGCTGAGCTGTGTAAACAGGAATGGCATTGCAGAACTTCATTAGGGCCTGAGGTGGATTAAGCCATTAACAGTTTCAAATTTCAGCAGAAATGATAATCATCATTGGCACAGTTAAAATTCATCTGAGGGATTTAAGGAGAAAGGAAAAGAATGCTTTTCTAGACAAACAGGCCTTGGGACATACTTTTCTTCTGTGGATGACTGCAGTAAGATTCATGGTTTATTATTCAAAGGCTTCCTTCCAAACTGGAGTTCTTTGGAACTTTGAACTGTTTCGTTTCACCTGAGTGTATCATCTTCAGTTATTTTCTTTGTTTTCAGCTCAGGGTATCAGAGGAAATCAGATCACATCTGTTTCCAGTGCAGTCCTTTATCCTTTCTGTAATAATATCATATCAACATACATTCCCACGAGTTTGCAAGTAATGTGGTTATTTTGAAAGGAACAATGATGCTCTTGGCCCTTCTGGAGTTATTTTCTTTCTGATTTCCCTGGCCGTTCAGTTGGGGTGATTTCAGAGCTTGTGGGACACCCCCTCTTTCTCCCTGCTGGATACTGAAGGGTGAAGACTACCGACTCATAACTGTTCACCAGTGTTTGTAGAACAGGGCTCAGCCGGGCATTCAGAACATGTGGCAGCAGGAGAGAAGTGAGGGCCTTGGGAAAAAAGAAGAGGAAAAAGATGAGCTTAGTTTGTTGTGCAGTTGCTAAGTCATGTTTGAATTAGTGTTTGTGACCCCATGGACTGCAGCAGGCAAGGCTTCCCTGTCCTTCACCATCTCCTGGAGCTTACTCAAACTCACGTCCATTGAGTTGGTGATGCCATCCCACCATCTCATCCTCTATCGTCCCCTTCTGCTCCAGCCTTCAATCTTTCCTAGCATCAGGATCTTTTCCAGTGAGTCAGTTCTTCACATCAGGTGGCCAAAGTATTGGAGCTTCAGCTTCAGCATCAGTCCTTCCAATGAATATTCAGGGTTGATTTCCTTTAGGTTTGACTGGTTTGACTAGTCAATCCTAGACTAGGATTGAGTAGTTTTAACTAAACTAAACTTTTAAAGAACAGTATGAGCTTAGATTAGTTGGATTAAACTCTGAAATGAAGCCTTTCGTCTGCTCTTTCTTAAAAACAACCTTTATGTAATATATGTAGTTCACAAATCCACTTACTTCCCTTGGTCATGTCATCAACCTGGACTGGCTCACCTGCCTGTATATCCCGGGGGCTCAGGAGGAGACGTGGTGGTAGGCAGCCTGCCGCGGCCCTTGGTGGTGAATGTGAACAGAACAGGAGAGAGAGGATAACTGTGCAGCGGGAGAGGCTTGCCCGTGTCAGCAGCCCTGCGATTCCTGCTTCTCCCCACACTCTGATCTCTCAGGTTTTTCCAGTTGCAGGAACAGATAGTTTGGGCGTCTGTGTTCTGGAACTAGTTCATGTCCTCCACACACTAAGTACGGAATTTAATCGACTAAGTCAGTGGTCTGCCTCAGTTTCCCCATATGTATTTGGAATCACGACACACGCTTGCCTCACAGCATTATTGTGAGGATTAACAAGCTTAGTCCACGTTCACTAATGTTTAGCATGTGGTTAACACTCATTGGGCTTCCCTGGTAGCTCAGCTAATAAAGAATCCTCCTGCAATGCCGGAGACCCTAATTCAATTCCTAGGTTAGGAAGATCTGCTGGAGAACTGATAGGCTACCCACTTCAGTATTCTTGGGCTGCCCTTGGTGCTCAGCTGGTAAAGAATCTGCCTGCAATGCAGGAGACCTGGCTTCGATCCCTGAGTTGGGAAGATCCCCTAGAGAAGGGAGATGCTACCTACTCCAGTATTCTGGGGGGTGCAAAGAGTCGGACACGACGGAGCGACTTTCAGCTTCACCTTAACACTCACTACATTTAGCCATCCTCCTTGGTAGTCTGAACCTCTTCTCCCACCTTGTTACCCTCCCTCTCAAGTTCTGTTCACGTTCACCAATATTGACGTGGGAGGTCCCTGCCCTTAATCACTCTGAAATGGGGTTACAGGATTGGCTATTGTAGTTGAGCAATGTTGCCCTCATGTCCCACATGGCCCAGGCTCAGTGTCACTCAAGAAGCCCACTCTCTAGGAGGGCGGGGGTGAAAACCCTTTCCCCATTGCCACCTCACTCATTTTGCAATTACTAGGGCCCTTTCATTTCAGTTTGCTGGAGAACCCAGATTGTAAACTCAGGTCACCTAGAGTCAGCATAGGAGTTTGCAAAAACACAACCAAGAGGACATTTCTCCAGACTGGACGTTTCAGGGGTTCACAGAAGGGACTTTAAAGCCTTTTTCTGGCATCACCACAGAAAAAAAAAAACCCACTATCCCAAGGTTGAGCATGGGACATCAGATATCTCACTCCTCCTCTTTCCTACTTCCTTCTCCATACCCCAGCCAATAAAAAAAAACATGACAAAATCCAAATCAGAGAAAACAATAAACCAAGCACCAGATTTAGCAAGTAAAATCTTAGGTGGAACATACACACAGAAGCTCTCTGTTGTTTATCTGAAATGTAGATTTCACCAGGCACAGTCTTTGATCTGCATCCCACCATTACATACATTGTTAGCCTCACACTTTTTTCCATGGCACATACAAAGGATAATAGAGTTTGATAAAACAGAAAATAGGAAACGCAACAGTGGGTTAAAGCCCCATTAGATTTCTTTGGCAACAGAATAGGCACGAAAACACCCGGCAGAGCCTGGATGAAGCAATAGAACTTGGAAGCCCAAGGGTGGGAAAGCCTTGGTTTCTCACAGTTCAAGATTACATGGTTTGTGTTTCCA